TACTTTCTTAATGTACACTTACCCTTTATATAAAACTCTCTCCTATACATATGAATTTCTGTGGATTTGTTTCCCTAGTTTACCCAGACTAACACAGTTGCCTTAGGTGAAAGTTGGACATTGAACAAAGAAGACTGTAGAAGAATTGATACATTTGAATTATGGTGCTGAGGAAGAATATTGAAAGTACCATGGACTGTTAAAAGGAAAAACCACTCTGTCTTGGAAGAAGGTCAGGGTGCTCCTTAAAGGCAAGGATGGCACGACTTTATCTTACATACTTTGGATATATTGTCTGGAGAGACCAGTGGAGAAGGACTTCATGCTTAGTAAAGTGGAGGGGCAGCAAGAAAGAGGAAGGCTTTCAAGGAGATGGATTGACACAGTGGCTGCGACAATAGGGCCAGGGATAGGGACAATGTCGAGGATGGAGGAAGACCATGCAGCGTTTTCTTCTGTTGTGCATATAGGTCAGAATGAGCTTGATGTCACCTAACAATGACAACAACAATGAGCTGCAAGCAACCAAGAAGAAGGAGTGAATTCAAAGAGAGTAATATTTTTATTTAATCACACAGAAATGTTTAGTATATAAGAATGAGACTTTTCGTTAATACTTCATTAATGCCCACAAAACACCATGGAATGTGCCTCAAATCATCCAAAATGAAGAGCTAGTACCATGAGTTTGAAAGACAGCAGCATGCTAATGGCTACCTAACATAAAGGCTACATTAAATGATCTGTTATGGTTAAGTGGCATCAAATGGATTCCAACGCATACAAGTGCATGAACAGCAGAACTGCTATCTTGCACCACCCTCACAATTGCTATGTTTCCGTCCTTTGTTGAAGTCACTGTGTCAGTTCACCTGGTTGAGGGCTTCTCTCTCTCTTTTTTTTTTAAACTAGTAATCCACTTTACCAAACATCATGTCCTTCTGTGGACACTGGCCCCTCTGCGTGTCCAAAGTGGGGGGCGTGAATAATTAACATACAATGGATTAAAAAATAGTCATAGTGAATTAGAAATTGAGAGAGCTTTCTTAATAAGGAAGAAAATGTATCAGGAACCACAAGTAAATGTAACTAACTGTAAAACCTGGATGCCTTTCCATTAAAATCTGCAAGGGACATTAATAAAAATATTTTAAAATAAATACATGTTAGTACACTAAGAAATTCCTTGATCTATTTTTAACTGATTCACACGTACTACTTACCTATATTTTGAAAAAGGAGCCCTGGTGGCGCAGGGGTTCAGTGCTTGACTGCTAACTAACAGGCCAGCAACGGGAAGCCTCCATCCCTGCCACCACAGCCACTTTGTTCGGGAGCCAGTCAGGCAGTGGCAGGAGTGACTGGGGAAGAGGAGGTCTGGTTTTAACAGAACCTGTCACCCTTCCCACTTCATTGTTAAAAATCCTCCCCTGCCAAAATAAATGGTTGGTGAGCATTCAGATGAGAGACAAATATCTTTATTTTCATGGCACATTAGAAAGAGTGTGTCCACCTACCTCTTCCCCATATTTCCTTGCCACTCGTTTTCCAATTGTGCTCCTTCCAAACCCCTGGACCATCCAACCTAACCACTGGCCACAGCCCACAAATCAGTATGCAGTCACGCATCTAGCCATTTCTCCTTCCAAGTAAAATGAACAACCAGGTGCACTGCTCAAGTTTTACTCACTGGGAGGATTTCCCTTCACCCGAGTCCTTCAGGGAGGTCCCTGTTGCTGCTGTGCACTGTCTAATGTTGCCTTCACACTATGCAGAGCCACCTGCACATTTCTCCCCATCTCTTATCGTGTCACCATAAATTTGAGATTCTTTTTCTCATTAAATTCGATGTATTATAATCTATTAGAATCTTTTATCTTTTTGATGCTGAAGTTGTCTCAAATTTGGTCAGTGAGCAGCATGGCTTTTTCATGCACACTCATTAATCTTTGAGTACTTCATTTCTTTCTGGCCCAAGATGTACTGATCACGTTGTACCTGTTCCTCAGCCCTTCCATTTCTCCAAGGAGTCTCAGTTCCTTTAAATGGGAAATAATTTTTAGAAACCAAGATTCGGACACAATTACTACAGAGGTGTTATTTTTTTCTAGGCCATTCAATTGCAAGTTGTTATTAATAGAGTTATTAATAGATAGATACATTATATATGAATAGATTATATAGGTAGACACACA